AACCGATTTTAAAAGGTTAATGGAGCCATGCATTTATGATGTTTGCAGTCATGTTTTCAAACCGTGCTATATTTTGCTTTAAATTGATCCAAACAAAACAATATTGTTACCCAATTAGAAATTCATGAATTAATGAAACGAGTTATTAATAATACCCTTATGTCAAATTCTTGTAGACCTGCATAGCGGCATACTGTACATTTCAATCTGTTTCCCTTAAAAAAAAATCCCATCTGTGTAAATGATCATATTGATGTAGTTTGGTGGCAGGTCAGAAATGTGAAGCTAGGGACGCTGTGCGGGTGTCATTATTACAGATGCATTTATAAGTGAATTTGGAAAACGATTATAAACGCATGGATTTTGAAAGATCCATATAACAACATTATGCTTACAACAAATAAAAGAAGAGCTCTCTAAGTTTTGAACGAGCATGGTATTTGACCTGAAATACGTTTGAAGCCTGTGTGACTTGCTATGGACCATCTAAAACTAAACTGTATCATGCATTCAGTTTGTATTATTATTTAGCTCATATAATTGAGGTTCCATTACATAGAATAGTTGTAACCAAATCATGTTTTTTTCCCCCACACTGCAGGACCATTCAAAATTAACTAGGTCATTAAAATGGTGAAAACGTAAGAGAAATAGTGACTAGTTAGATAAGCATTAAACTTGATGATGAATAAAAAAGGTATGAATACGATATACGTCAACTAAAGACTAAATGCAATTAATCAAAGTAAACAAGAACTTCAGTCAGCTTTGAACAGTGCATTTTACTGCCTCTCGCAAAAGTATAGACTATAGAAACAAAATCATCGTATGCAATCTTTCTATAGAATTCGTATGAGCACTAATATTCAGGTATATGCTCTATTTTTCTAAATTGAAATTAAAACTAATTAAAACTTTGCTGGTCTGAAGAACTCGCGGTCAGTGTGTAAACGAGTCTGTAAATCGTGTCAAAAGTTTTGTTAAGGCAGAATTAATCTCTTCATTTAAATGTGACGAATATAATTTATGAATAAAGAGCCCAAAACCATCAGACGCAGTATAAGAGTTCATTATTGACAATGAAAATATAAAAAATGGAAAATCCGCTTTCATTAAGTTTTAATTGAACTTAAAAATAAAAAAAGAATATATACACAACGTACAACTGAAATCAAATCTGTAAATCATATATTGTAAAGCTATGAACCAGCTGGTCACCAAAGTGATATAATTATGGCTTTGGAGGCAATACATCGTGTTCAATACACAAAGCGTTTCCATTTTCATTTGAATGAAATTGCTTTTAAAATGTACATATCACAGATTGAGTGCTAATACTTATTCATATCCATTTATGCTCAGACAAATTATCTTGGTGCAACAGCTTCCATTTCGACGTGCAAATGCGATTGTAAAATATGTGCATTTCAGTTTATTCCACTGCAATTTGTCTATGTAAATATGTATGAATTAATATAATTCATAAATATATGAAAGCAAAATAACATAAATCTAACCTAACGTAATGAGTGTTTAGTTATGCACATGCAGTGTTTTGAGCCTTTGGATAATCACGTGTCTATAGAAATGCTATGTTTTTATAAATAATGCGCATTTAGCCTATTTTCCTATCCTTTGGCATCACAGTGGCATCTGTAGGTGTTTCTAGGGGTACAATATCGAAAGTCGTCACACTATTCAATAATTTATTCCAATATTATGCAGCTTTATCGAAATCCATTTAGTCCAAAATTACTTACTATTTATTTACAATCATACTCATACACATGCAGTCGTGCACTCCCGAGTTGTGGACTGTTTTGTATATCTGATACTAGTTTCTGAATCGCATGAGTTTAACTAGAGGAAAAGAGAAACTAACATCTCCCGTCAGGCGCGCGCATGCGACTTGCTGCGCCTCAGTTCTGAAAACATTTGCATTGGCTATGAATGAACTCCCAATGAATTTCTGCATATAACACGACCAGATCCTTATCTTTAACTTTTCACAGTCTTTGCGTTTGTGCTTCTCTCCCGAGAGACAAAATGTGCGTCAGAAACTTATGATAAAAATGTCAATGGTCAAAACACTCAATCTATCCAAACTAAACGACGAGGGCTGTATTTGATCGTCTTGGCTTAAAACCCAATCAATGTGGTTCTAAATGGACCCAAGGACTCGTTTGAGAAAGAGACGATGCATTAAGCTGCGTTTTGACATTTTTTTTTTGAAAAGCCGTGATTTCTTGCGTCAATTGCGGTTTTTATTCGAATGGAATAATTCAATCTAGCCTCTATATTCAACGCAGAATTGATTTCGTTCTCTCATAATAATTGAATAAGAATAGAGAAAGTGGTCAGTCTTGTGAAAGCAGAGAATAGAGCTTTAAATTATCTTCAAACTGAATCGAATTTAAAGATAAGGCACGAGATTGAGCGTTTTCCCCTTTTTTTCAAAAAATATTGCGATAAATAAATAGATAGATAGATAGATAGATAGATGTTGCATGAATATGATTGTGTACCATTACCATATGATACCATCACTGTACATACTATAGTACTTCTTTTGTAATGGTATATAGGTAACCACTCTTATGGAGGACAATCATGGACTGTTAAGGAGTTTATTCAACTTTTTCATTTGATGAACTGCATTTCAGTGTCACAGTTGAAGATGACTCACCTTGTGAGATTTAAAAGCAGCTCAACTTTTTCCCTGCAGCTTCTCCGAGGATCAGTTTAGTCTGTGTTGGAGTGTACGCATGGGGGGAGTAATTGGCTGAATGTGAAGTATTTCAAAGTTATAAGAATTCCCTGTTTGTTTACAGCAAAATGAGGGTTTTTTTCCTCAGACCCTGTCCCCAGCAGATGGCTCCCCGCTCCAGCGTAACACAGCAGGGATCCGAACTGAATATGGGGTATCCAGGGCCCCGTAGACTCGTTGATCGTCAAGCAGATCCGATGTCTGCTAGATATTTATCATCTGAGATACTGCTGTTAATTTATATACAGACTGAATCAGGAGCCTTTATTCAGGCTTAACTGTTAACCTTATTTCAATTGTGCTTTGATAGCTTGGCATCACTGAATGAGAGCCCACAAAATAGAGGCTCGTGGAAAAATAAATTGAAGAACAAGAACAGCTTGAGCCGCGGCATCCTGACCTGTTTTCTTAAAGCGTGAGGAAATAAACTGATTTTTTTGCAGCACTTTGTTTCCTTGTGCTTATTAAAGTGAGAGCTTTTTATTAGCCGAGTGAGTGACAGTTCACCTCAGCGTTTCTCTATTTGAGCACAATGAGTCTGTTCCATCAGTGTGACCTTAACAAACATAGGCAGAACGCAGGGGTTGACTTCAAACGGGACCCTTTGATGAAAGGCAACAGTCAGATTATGATTTATAAGGTTCTAGCAGCAAGTTTCAGGCCGCAAATATGTTTGATTGAATACATATTTGGGTTTTGGGGTGAGGTTGATGTACAAACACAGCTGGCAAACATTAAATCTGAATGTTTCTGAATTCGCAGGTCCTCGCGGTGATAAAAAGCAGCTTTAAAAGAATTAAATTGGCAGTTCTGAAAGCCTTGAGTGAGTCAGTGTGCGCAATCTTTTTATCAATACAGCCAGCAGCATGTTGCCACAAAGCACGACGCACGGATGGAATCTCATACACACACACACACACACACACACACACAAAGTCTTGTGTTAATGACATAGGAATACCATTTTTGTCATTTTCAGTTGATCTTTCACTCTTGAGCCTTTTGTGTTTCTCTTTACCTTGAAATTGGAGTTTACAGTTATATTTTAGGTGAAGAAACATCCTGTTTCACTTTGTTGTGTGTTTGTCTTTACACTTTAAAATAAAACTTCTTTTATTGGTGTCGATGGCAGTATGAAAAAGTTTTAACATACATAGAATCTTTCCATTCCACAAAAGGTTCTACAGATTTTTTAGAATGTTTTTCAAACTTTTCTAATGCACTGCTGTGAAACCCCCCTGATGGAAGTTTTATTTTTAAGAATGTGCCATTAAATTCGGGTTTACAATAATGTTTTGGGTCATAAAACGTCCTGTTTCATTTAGAAATATGTTTGTTTATTTAAAGTGGGTTGAGGATGCTTCAACGCTGGCTGTATCTTCTTTACTGCGCACACACAAAGCTTATGATATAAGGTTCTGTTGTTAGAGTTGAACTTGAACTCTTTTGAGCCTTTTGTGCTTTTCCCTTAAGGTTTACCATAATGTTTTGGGTACAGAATCATCCTGTTTCACTTCGAAATATGCTGCATTAATCAAAGTGGGATGTCTTTGACTTCAACACTGTCCATCTTTCTCAGTGGTTTTGTGTTAATCAAGCAGGGCCTTGAAATGTTTCTTTTCTTTGTCTTTATAAATAAAATATCACAGACAGTCAAGGACAGAAAGACTCTTACTTTCCACATATGAAATGATTTTGCTTGGTTTTAAAATGGGAATGCATTGTTTGGTGAAGAATAGCCAATGCCGATCAGCATAATGTGGTGACTTTGATTTTCTGCTTACACAGGAGAACGACCAAGGAGTAATTACCTTAACTGTGTAGCCAATTCAGAGAATGCATTTGATGCATTTGTGTTTGGTATGATTAAAAACACCTAAGAACGTATAGATGAACATTTATGAACTGAATGCAGCTTTTATTTGTCTGAATATTATGTGCTTAAATGTAGCAACTGGTGGCTCTGCTGTGTGGTCTTTATTCCCAAGATCTCTGGGCTTTGCTTAACACATTGTACCATTCTTTTGTTGCTTTCGGTTCATCCACGTGAAAGCCATGGATTTAATGGATGAAAGATTGTGTAAGCCATGAATAAATAGGAAGTGTAAGTGATTGAAGCAAGAGCTTTAGAAGGAAAAATCATTATATCTGTGATAGATAGATAGATAGATAGATAGATAGATAGATAGATAGATAGATAGATAGATAGAGCTTCTGGTTGCTTTTTACTCACAGATAATCGTGTCTTGCTGTACATCCGCCACTGAGCTGGTGACCTAACGAATGCTTTCGTTGTTCATTGTTCTCTTCTACACCCAGACAGCATGTAAAGTAACGTAACGTCTAGCACAAAAAGAAGAGATGAGATCTAGAAGAGGCAAAGAAAGAAAGGCACCAGTTTAGACAATCTGAGCACTTAGAATGGACAGTGTTAGTGGACAATGTTAGTAAGTCAATTTCATTTTTATTTTGCAGCTTATAGTTTGCTTTGCTGATAGCGGTATGTGAAAAAACTACTTTAGGAGCAGAAAGTATGAGTCAGGACTTTAACCAGCATGCGCTGGTCAGGCCTCAGAGGAGCGGAAAATTTGATGAGATTGAAGGACGGTGTTTGCATGTAATTCTGCGGTTTGTCATTCGTCAGCCAGATTGTAATACAATTATCTGATAGGATCAGAGAGAACAGAAAACTCTAAACACTTAACTCGGTTTAAATCGGAGTCCCAGATCTGAGCACTGTCTTTCTAAAATGAGGTACAAAATAGAGATGAATTATGAGGGAGAAAAAAATGCTCAAATTTACAGTCACTATAAATAAAATTAATTAATTATTCACTACAAAATAATTACACTATTATTATATTCATATAACAAAGTATAATGTTTTAAATGTACAATTAAAATATCAATTAATAACAATATTATTATATTAATTAAACAATGTATAGGGTTTAAATATAAATTAAATATTTAAAATTATATAACAATATTATGCTAATATAGCTAACAAGGCATAGTTTTATATGTACATTAAATAATTTAATAACAAATACAAATATACTAATATTATTATATTAATATCACAAAGTATAGTGTTTTAAATGTACATTAAATAATTTTAAATAATTTAAATAAAAAAAAAATATTTAAGGTGGAAATGCATGATCACAGTGGAGATCTCTATTAGACTGTGCTGTTGAACGTCGACCACTAGAGGCTCTGTGGTTCAGCAGGGATGCCTTTTAATCCAATGGGAGGACACAATTTCTCAGTATCTGCCCACACACTGTAAGCCTAATTGCCCGATCACATATGCACACAGGCCGCGTTATCCAGTAGTGCTGGGGGAAGGGAACTAATAATAGTCCAAATGCTTTTGCTGTTAGGAGGATTATAGAGCCCTATCTACCAGCCATCGGTAAGACAGGGTTGACCGTTGGCTGAACCTGCGCAAACACGTGCTTCGTTAAAACTAGGAACAAGGGTCAGGGTATGAGGAAAAGTGGGTAAACAGATGTAATTGGGTAGGATGATCAGGTAATAGGAATAGAAAGAAAGAATATTATATTTGCATATGCATGCATGCAACACTGGTCTTTTTTCCCCACTTTTCCCTTCCACGTTACAATACAGGTGAGCTGCGTGTTACAGAATGCGTGTACAACATCTGACCGGACATAACAGCACAAGTATGTTCACGACAAACCATATGTTGTCTGCATATGCATGTGCACCAAGAGAGTTTCTAAAGACATCAACTCAGGCCTCGGCTAAATCAAAAATCCCTCAGTAAAGATGCATGAGATTAATGAGCTACAAGCTCTTTAAAGAAGAGAGGTCACAGAGGGGTCACAGAATAACCAGAATGCCTCATCGTGCTGGCTGCACAGCGTTGTGTGGGATCAAGAGGGCAGTTAACGGTCAGTATAACTTCTGAACAGGGTCAACAAAGGTGTCAAAAAGATCAGCAGACGGTCAGGTGCTTGAGCATCTCACTCTTTTTATACTCTAGAATAAGTTTATTTCTTTGGATTTTCAATGTGTTGTTCAGGGTTGTGCAAAATTCAGAATTGACAAATGCATATCTCTCTATCTAGCATCCATCCATCATTCTATCCCATTCATCTATCTTTCTATTATCTATCATCCATTCATCATTCTATCCATCTATCATCCATCCATCATTCTATCCACCATCCTATCATCTATCCATCCATTCTATCATCTATTTATCTATCATTCTATTCATCCATCTTTCTACCCATCTATCATTCATCCATCATTCTATCATCTATCCATACATCTTTATCATATAGTATCTATTCATCCATATCAATTTATCAATCTGTCCCTCTATCCTTCGTTCTTTTTTTCCATCTATTCATCCATCCATTATTCCTTCTATCTTTCTATGATCTATCATCCATCGTTCTACCCATCCTTCTATCATCTATCCATCCATCGTTCTATCCATCTATCATCCATCTTTATCATCCATCCATCATTCTGTTTATCCATCCATCATTTTACCCATTTATCTTTCTATCATCCCTCCATCTAGCTAACTAGCTTAGTCTTTTTCTAGCACTTTCCAAAAGACAATGAACACTGTTTGTCTTGACAAACTTTGCTCTAGAAAGTTCATGCCGCTCATGTTTCATGAGCCCCACTAAACACTAAACTTGCAACCTCATTTTCATTCATGTCAAATTCAATTGTCAAATTAATTGTCATGTCAGATTGCCATTTACCATGACTACAGTCCATGACATCATCATTCATATCTACATGCACAGAGCAACGACATAAACAGAGAAGATTATGGTGGAGGATATAGGGGCTCCAATTACAGCAGAACTGATACAATTTCAGTAGAATAGCAAAAGTATCTGATGAATTGACGTGCTTGACTTCGTTCTGCACCAGTGCATTGTGCTGATTCTGAGTTCACTGAAGAACGAGAGTGGAGTGGATTGGGATGCCGCAGGCCAGGGTGCAAATCCAGGTCATGCAGATCCTGCCTTTAGTAATCTGTGCCCCAGCGGTTAACCCTCGATCTCATTAAAGAGGATTTCATCCCAATAGTTTAGATGTACGATTGAAGAGATTTGCTTTCGTCTTTTCACTCCCATATTTAATTTTTTTCTTCTGCTTTCTGTAAAGTCGAAATATGGTTGAGTTTTTTCATCTAAAACTGTAAGCTCCGCCCACTATAGGGTCTGCAAAAAAAATCTGAAATATGAATACCAAATACATAGATTACAGCCTTAAAGTATAAAAAAGCTTTAAATATATTGAGCATGTAAATACATACTTTGCATGCTCTCATACACATACTATTCATGAACACATCATCAGTATGCTCGCGTAAGCTTGAAGGGATCACTCCACAATCTCATTATCCTCACACTAATGGCCACATCGAGTCCAGACCTCAGCTTGCAATACTGTTTGGCCCAGGTTTTATTCAGCTGTTAGCGTCTTACGGGGTTTACGATGGAAATTGATTTCCGGAGTGTGTTTGTAAACTGCTGTCGTCATGGAGGTCATCATACAGCTGTAAACAATACAGGTCCTGGGTCATACGTTCTGAGAGACTCCTAATGAATGGAGTTTGTACCAATGAGAGGGACTGAAACTGTGTGACGGACTTTATAGCCTTCATATGGTGAAACACTGTTTACAACGTGCTATATATACAGAGTTCTGGCATGAAACTCTAGATGGCGCAGTGCGATAGGTCTAACTCAATCTGACCTAATGACATCTTTATCACATGGCACAGCTGATTGGTTCTCTCCTGTATTGGTAGCCAATGAGCTCGCTGCTCAACATTCAAATATATGACTAGTGCTTGCCATAGCAGTTGCAGATTGCTTCAGAGATCCTTCACCTTCCCCAGCTCCACCTGTATAGATCTGCTATGAGGTGATTCATGCATGCTATATGGGGGTTATTTCATGTGTTACATTTGCAGCAGCAAGATTTCTTACATGCTCACAGCAGTATGTTGTGGATGTATTGGCAGTAGCAAGTCTCGGTACTTGCTCTGCCGCAGCAGCAGCAGTGTAGCAGATCTATTCCGCCAAGACCAAATACATTAACATTGTCATGTACATTACCATGCCAATCCCTCCGAGAGTTGTCATGACAAAAATATATTTGTCCATTTGTAAAATTTTAAATATTGAAATTTAAAAGAACTCTTTTCTATTTGAATATATTTTGAAATGTAATTTATTCCGGTGACACAAAGCTGAATTTTGAACATCCTTACTCCAGTCTTCAGTGTCACAGTATCATTCAGTTCAGTGTCAGAAATCATTCTGCTGCTTGCTATTTGTCTAACACTACTAAATGTAATGTCAATGTCACACAATGCTAGTTGTGCGTCAACCCCTTCAGTCAATCCAGTCAAGCCCTAATGGATAGTAAAGTGAAGTCCCATCTTAGGTTTTTCTTGGTGAATATCCTCACACATTTCACTGTAAAATACATAACAGAAGTAAAACAGGCCACAAATATTGTTTCACATTGCCTCAAGCGTCAAGTATTCACAAAACTAAAGTCCTTTTTTCTTGTGCATGGACATATCCATATACAGAGAAAAGCGTCAAAAGTATCTCATAGAGCAGACAAGTGTGAAGTGCTGTACTCGATGGGATCTGAACCTCAATCATCCCATGTTCTAGAGCCCTTAACATTAAGAGTGAGAAAATGAGTGTGAATGTGAATTTCTGAGAGCTCACGATGTGTTCATCGAAAATGGCGCCATCTCCTCCTTTATGGTCCCCAGGGTGGGACAAAGCAGCAGGTGACAGGTAAAAATCCGGTCAGGATGAAATGCATTTTTCATAGGCCTGATTTTCTCTATGTTTATGAGTGGAGCTTGATCTCGACCCGCCGTCAACCCCAGAATACACTCTGCAATAAAGCAGCTCTGTATCAATTAAACATGCAGGACAAGGACATGCAGAGTACAGTGCGCTTTTTAACCTGAGGTTAGCAGCGCTTTAACTCGAGTTCAGCGCACTTTTGAACATGCTTCATTGATCTTTGCTTATGAGGAAGCCATAAGGAGAAGCCTCCCATGTGTGTCAATGTTGTTGAACAGAGAACCCTGTTTTTGTGGTAATCAGTGATGCTTGCTAAGGCACGTTTTTCCAAACACCTAACCCAAAAACGTAACTTGACGCATACAATGACTTCACTCATACAATACGTGCTATAGACATGTTTCATAATTGCTTAATTTTGCAGTGTTAACCGTTATTTTCCTATTTATTAACGTGAAGCTGCTTTGAGACATTTTTAAGAGTGTCCTAAGTGTCCAAATACATTTTTGGTCCCAAAGTCATTGTAT